AATATGAAGGTAGGGCATAGTTTTCAGCTTCTGGATAATTTATAATAATAATAATAATAATAATAATAATAATACATTTTATGGATTAGGTAAAAATCATTGTCGTTGGTTTCATAAAGAATATGTATGATATTACATTATCACTGTAATTCTTTAATAGAATATTTATTAGAATTAAGTCTATTCTTGCAACAAGAAAAATGGACTTGAATATATATTACATTTATATTGTGAAAATCAGGTCTGCAAACAGAATACAGCAATATTAGAGTACGTTTGTCTAGTTTGTTGTATTTTCATATGCCTCCCCACACTTAGTTGTGTTCTAGTGTTCTAGTAAGAAAATAGTTATCACTGTTGGACATCACATTTAAGTTGTCAAATTAGACTGTAAAATGAAACAACAATAGACCTTTTTCACTTCACTTTTTGTTAGCAGGTAATATTGTTTCCAGTCAAATCAAAACAAATGGCGCAGTCCAGCGTTTTGCTGTTTTGCTGTGTTCCTCAATGCCACAACTCCAGACAAAAATATGTTAAGATCAAAATGGATCCAGTCAGTCCAACAGGTAGAGGTTCCTAATTTTGGAGTAAATGCCATCGTAGCTGTCTCACTTTGCTGAGAGAACTGTTTATTAGACTCCTTTGGGACAGTTCATGCTCAGAGATGGTGTTGCACCCTGCCGTTTCCTTGGGAAAGCCCAAGAGTTGAGAATCTGTTTATTCAAGAGCATCTGCATGGCTTAGATCAGATGTTAACAGCCAGAATAAGAAAGAGAATGTCAATGAGGAAGTGAATGTATCTTTAGCTTCTCATTCAAATTTCCTTTCTACCTTAAATGATGCATCAGCCACCTTAAATTACTGCAAAGTAGATACACAAGTGAGGGTCGAAACCAAAAAGCCAATACAAAGGTAATCTGAGCCAAAGGGGAAAATCTGAGAGTTGATAAAGAGAAACAAAACAAGGTTATAACAGGATATCCAGCAAAACAAGAGAACAGCTCTGTACAGACTTTCAAGACAGAGACAATAAGCCAGCTTGAAACAGACAAAGTCAGTACTCAGGTGACCGGGATCTGCTGGTTGACGGATGATTGATTGGTGGAGTCACATGATAAACTAAGAGATTGTAATGCAGTGAGAGCCCGACTGAGAACCGGGAAGTGTCACAGTAACTTGAATTTCATTTTGTTTGAGCATGTTATTTTAAATGATACAGCCAATTAGATATTTTCAAACGCTGATTGTAAACAAATAAAAAGGACTTAATAAACAATTTACTTTAATTTAATTTTCTTCTCCTAAAGTCTTTTTACAGATGATTTGTATTTCCATGTGTTTCACTTTATAACACTCTTTCAGATCATTATTATCTCCTAACGAACAGCACAATTACACCTTGTTTATTAGTAATGAGTTATGTGTTTCACTCTCTAATGCTGTTCGTCATTATTATCATCTCATAAATAAAGATACACTAACATGTTGTTCATTAGTGATAAGTCTCCATGTGTTTCATTTTATAATGCTGTTCCATTATTATATTCTTATGAAGAACAGTTACACCTTGTTCATTAATAATGAGTTACCGTGTGTTTAAAGAATAACTACTGTTCAGAAGAAACAACACTGACGCATGCTCCTCCATAAACGACTGATGTTTTCTATTCTAAAAATGAGGGGTTAACCTGACTGTTCTACTGGATACTGTAATATATTGGCCATTTATTAAATACACTTCCTTATTTCTATACTTTTTGTACATTTTATAAGCTCCACTTACCATATAGGTGCACTTTGTAGTTCTACAATTACAGACTGTAGTCCATCTGGTTCTCTGCATACTTTGGGGGTCCTGACCACTGAAGAGCATACTTTTTCATACCATCACAGAGCAGGTATTATTTGGGTGGTGGATCATTCTCAGCACCTCTTAGAATGATCCACTGAGGTGGTGGTGTATTAGTGTGTGTTACGCTGGTATGAGTGGATGAGACACATCAGTACTGCTGGAGTTTTTAAACATCTCAGTGTCACTGCTGGACTGAGAATAGTCCATCAACCAAACAAGCTTTAATAATCAACATAAACAAGCATTCCACCAAGAAACGTAGTTCCTTTAGAGCACAGTATTGTATGGTATCACTTTGCATCATGCATAAGAACATTCTTCCACTTGATAAAATCACAGTGACACACAGCCTCTCATGACTTGCTTTATTACAGTTTTATGATTGCTTATGCACGATTTTGAAAACAGGGCTCATTTTGTCCAAACACTACACATAGTTCACCCAGCCACAAACACAAGCAGTGGAACACCTTGGATCTTTTGCAAAATTAAACACTTCATTCAAAACTATACAACAATTAATAAAAAAACAGTTTCACTAAATGTATTCAGTGATGTTACATTATATAAAAATACAAATTGAAAAAGCACATGGGGAAAACAGTATTTTTTCTCTCTCTTTTTTAATCTGATTTACAGTTAGCAGTTTTAGTCCTGTAATCTTTGTGGAAAATTCACTTTTCATTAAAATGAAGATTAGAAATTTGCAACTTTTTTTTTCTTTCTCATCACCTGCTTTAGTCCACTTCTGCTCCCTCAGTCACCTGAACTGATGCTAAATGTATCACTTGCAAACATGTCCACTACTGAAGAGAACATTAGATTGATCATCCCTCAAAAGAGCTCAGTAACAAAGAGATTAATAATTGATGATCGCATTGACTTATCAGCCTACTCAGGCTTTAGCAGAGCTCAGTAACACTGAGATTAATAACTGATCATCATATTGATTTATCAGTCTACTCAGGCTTTAGCAGAGCTCAGTAACACTGAGATTAATAACTGATCATCATATTGATTTATCAGTCTACTCAGGCTTTAGCAGAGCTCAGTAACACTGAGATTAATAACTGATCATCATATTGATTTATCAGTCTACTCAGGCTTTAGCAGAGCTCAGTAACACTGAGATTAATAACTTATCATCATATTGATTTATCTGTCTACTCAGGCTTTAGCAGAGCTCAGTAACACTGAGATTAATAACTGATCACATTGATTTATCAGTCTCTTCAGGCTTTAGCAGAGCTCAGTGACACTGTAATTAATAACTGATCAACACATTGATTTATCTGTCTACTCAAGCTTTTAAATTAGCAGTGTGCTAATTTAAAAACAAGTATCAGTATTGTTTCTTTTTTTTTATTTACTGGGAAGCTTTTCTAAAAGTACTTTCCTAAAAATGTAAAAAGTAACTGTATAATGAATACTGAATTCTGAATGTTCTCCCTTTTGCATTTGTATTCTCTATTTTGCATTTTTGTTCTCTGTTAATGGTTTTGTGTTCTCCCTTTAAGTATTTGGATTCTCTATTCTTTGCGTTTTTGCATTCTCTCTTTTGAATTTGCATTCTCCTTTTTGTATTTGTGTTCTCTCTTTTGCATTTGAATTCTCACTTTTTTATTTGCATTCTCCCTTTTGTGTTTGTGTTCTCTCTTTTGTATTTGCATTCTCTCTTAATTTTTTGTGTTCTCCATTCATATATTTGTGTTCTCCCTTAATGCTGTTGTGTTCTCAGCATTTATTTGCATCTTAAATGTTCTGTAATCTGCCACCATATAAGAGGATAATGATATAATGTATAACCCTACACAGAGTCAGGGGTATAGCGAAGCTTTAATGAGTGCCGCACATCCAATATCAACTATACAGACAAGCCTCGAGAATACATTAATATTATTACATGTGTATATCACATCCTGATAAGGAGAAAACAGACTATAACTAAACACTCAGAGATATAGCATATAGATAGACTGCTGATAGAGTGCTGCAGGTTTGTGGTTGGACATTTATTTTTTTTTAAAGGTGTTGACAACTCAAAGGTGAGTGAGAGACTAGGTGTGCAGCAGGGTAGGGGAGACTAGGGCAGACAAGTCTTATTCCTCTAATTTAAAACATGCTAGAGTGATGACACTCATAATGCACATACTCAGTTAGACCCTCCCCACACCAGTAAGACAGAAGACACTTTCAACATCTGATGCTGCATTAACTGAAAAACCTGTTTTGGAGGAATGAAAGTAGTTTTTTCATGAGCTGTATTTTTGTCATACTGTCCTTTTTTGTATGAATTAATCAAAACTTACATGAGTTTGAATCATTGTTTTGTTGACTTCTAAGTGACATGGCTATAATGTTTCAGGGTCAGTGTGTCTAGCCAGCACATGAAGCTCTGTCATGAGTGATAGGACAGGGACAGCAGTTGCATCTGTCCCCAGTCTAAGCAGCCATATCTAAACAGACCACACAACAGTATTTTTCAACATTTCTATTTTAGTATAGGCACACTTTAGCTACTTTATTGCTTATGATGAACAGAACAGGCAAATATATTATAAGACCTTCAGAGGCCAATGATAAACAAAATTATTTCCAAAATTATGTTTATATTTTCTTATACATGTGTGTGTGCATGTGTGTGCATGAGGGGTGCCTTACAGTGAATAAATCATCTAAAAGTAGAAACTGTACTGTATTTGTTTTCAGTAGGCTATGCCAAGAGTGAGCAAGAAAGTTACTAACAAAGGGGTTCAGTATTTTGGAATGAGCCTCAAATGTAATCAGGGATGAGTGAAGGACAATCAGGGAAGTGATAAATATTAATAAATACAAAAATAATACTATAATATTAATAAATAAAAAAAAAATACTATAATATTATTGTACAAATAAATTAACATGTTGCAACCGTCCTCAGTCTCACCTAAGTGAACCTAAACCTGTTGTCGGAGCCTGTTATCTCATTATTGTGCTGCGGACAATCAAGTGAACGCAATCTGTCTTAAAGCAGCTACATAGTGTCAGGTCATCGGGTTTACACATATGAAATATGGTTTTCTCACTATTTTGGAGTTTTACAGCCATATAAGGCTGGGATACAGGAAATGTATTCTAATAACTTTGGACAATAAGTATGTCATGCTCAAATGTTACTTACAAAGCAAGATTTAAAAAGCATAGAGCTACAATAATCATATCTTCATTTGTTCTAATTTTTGCAGATGGAGTGTAACTTAAAAATGCATTAACAATGATACATTTTGTCCTTAATCTCATCCACACCAACTGCATCATCAGGAGCTTTGTATGGCCAGAACATACTAGAGGTATCAGTGAATTTATATGGTTTGCAGGCTGTGAATATAAGTGTTACTATTGCTTGACACCTAACATGTACAAAATTTTTCCACTGAGCCTGAACAGCAGACAATTTTGTTTTTGAAGCACAGGAAAAAAATTTCTTCAAAATTAGGTTATGTTTCTTTTTTCTCCATAGCAAAATGCTCCCAATTTTTATGATTATTAATATTATTAATATTATTAGAATGTGTTTTCTCAGTGTTTAACAAATAAATTTAATATTAAGATGTCCATGTGCCAATTTGCAGTGCCCTTTCTGTTACCCTGTGGTAGACAGAATCAGTGCACTCTTATGTTATGGGCTCTAAGAGGTATCCTGAAAGAGTGGCGTCCCCATTCAATGTCTGAAAGTAAAGGGTTTGTTGAAGAGAGTGCAGTTTGTGCAAAAATACCTCTGGTGTTGTTTGTCAGGCTAAGAAATTGCAGCTTGTCAAAGTCCCTAGTTATAAACCACTTACTTAGTAAATCCCAGCAGCACCATGATTTCTTTTGTCACCAAGACATGAAAGGAGGATGTCGCCCCAGGAAGACTGCTAACGGTATGGTTTAAATGTGCTGGTATCTGCCAGGTGGGAACATGACCATTGACATCTTCCCTGAGCCAGTGGCCATTGCTAATTTAAGAGGGGATGTTGGTGCTTTTGAAACACAGTTTGCTTTCCTTACTCAAGTGTCAAATGCAATTTTTGTGTTCCTGGACAAGTTTGAAGAAAGGGAGCAAAAGATGTTTGTCTCTTCACAATAAATGAATTCAAAATTATTCTTTGTTGTGAATTATCAGAGAGACACAAATCCAGATGTGAAGTCATCAATTCAAGCAGCGATGGATGCCCTCAAGTTGACCAAAGAGGACATCATTGTGAAAAGTCAGAATGTCAATATGGCAAAGCTTGCAGACATGATCTGTTCTACCATTAAGAAATCCCTTAGTGAGCACTCTCCGTCCTTAGATATTGAGTCCATGTCAAAGATTGCTTGTGAATTTGGAATATCTATGGATGAACTTAACAGCAAAGCCTCCAGCTCAGCAGAGCAAGCAGCACAGAATATTATGAAAGGCATTGGAGTTCGTGAAATTGCTGTCTATAAGAAGAACCAGCTGCCACTGCAAGGTGAAAACTGGAAAAAAAACTGTCTCAGATAGAAAAAGAGGAATGCAGGTTACAAACTGCAGGAGATACAAAGCTGGAGGAATACAAAGCCCAACTTCAGGAGGAAACAAAATTTATAAGACACAAAGTAAGTACAAGATCACATCAGGAATGTCAGAGTTTATAAATGCAGTGACAAATAATGACTCCATTGAGAGGGCTTTCTTTCTCAAATGGATGGGGTACAAGCTGGACATGCGTTCACATAAGCACCTGTCATCCCTTCGACATGCTTTGAAAGAATACTGTCAATGAAAAGACAGAGACTCCTTGGCCAAAATAGACCAGCAACTTCTGGACAGCTCTCTTGGCTTAGAACATTACTTGAGAGAGATGGGACATATTTATGAGGCTTCACTTGGTTCAAGCTAAAAACTGGATAAACTCCCCACAGTGGCTGCTGAGCTCCTGCAGGAAGGGTTTCCTCTTGAACTGCTGGAAGGAGATGCATCCAGTATTCCAGAAAATTGGATAAATGATGTTCTGATGGAGCTTCACCAGATGGTTGGGCAGAAGAGTCGTCTGTTGGTCCTGACAGTGTTAGGGGTTCAAAGTACAGGCAAATCAACACTGCTCAACACCATGTTTGGAGTCCAGTTTGCAGTTAGCAGTGGTCGGTGCACTCGTGGAGCTTACATGCTCTTACTTCTAGTGGGAGAGGACCTCAGGACAGAGCTGTCATGTGACTATATCCTCTTAATCGATACAGAGGGTTTGAAATCAGCAGATCTCGCCCAACTTGATAACAGTTATGAGCATGACAATCAACTAGCCACATTCGTGATTGGCCTTAGTGATGTAACCATCATCAATGTTGCAATGGAGAATTTCACAGAGATGAAAGATATTTTGCAGATAGCAGCATGCTTTTTTACGAATGAGGGAACTTGGTAAAAAACCAATTTGTCACTTTGTTCACCAAAATATTGCTGGTGTATCAGCATATAACAAGTTAATCACTGGTATATACTAGGTTTATGGTATGACACTCCTGCAATGGCACCTGTTAATACAGGCTACAGTGTTGCTGTTTTCGATTGAAAAAAAAAATGTTAAAACTCCTGAAAGAAATAAATGGTCAACCATTCTTCAACATCCCACAATTCCTGGTTTGGACGAGAGGCATGTGGAAGGCAGTGAAGTTTGAGACCTTCATTTTCAGCTTTCAAAACATACAGGTTGCCCATGCCTATAATAGCCTTTGCAAACAATTTTCAGAATGGGAGTGGTCTTTCAAAAGGCACATCTACTCCTGACTTAAAAGTGCAACTATATAAATATTGAAAACATACTACAAAAGGAAAGATCAGCATGTAGGTTTGGTGGAGAGGTACAAAGTTGACTTTATCAAAAGCATCCAGAGCCTGCAGACAGAAATGAAAAACATAATAAGAAACAAATTAGATGCTGCTTTTTTTTCAGCTGCGAACTAATATGGCAAAACTTCACAAGAAACAAGCTACTATGATGGAGGACCAAGTCCTGCAGGTGAGTTGTCTGATGATGATTTGAGGGCTGATTTTGAGAGCATATGGAACAAAGCATTCAACGTGAATATTTCAGGCTTGAAAGAGAGGGACATTCCCTCTGAAATGTTAAAGGAATTACACTCAAGTTTTAGCCACCACAAAATCAATGAATACATGGAGAATGAAAATTTGCGGACACTAAAACGCAGCAGCTCTCAATATTGCACTGAAACTTGATCAGCGTGTTCAGCGAATCTGTTTTGTTCTCCAAGAGAAAAGAAGCTCTACCCTTACCAGAGTCCAGAGTTCTGTACTAAAGGTAAGTGGAGAAGCCAGCTGGTGTGATGCTTTGTTTGGTATTGCCGCAGACAGCCACGTCTCTATGAGCGCTAAAATGCAGCAGCTCTCGATGTCGCACTGAAACTTGATCAGTGTGTTCAGCCCATCTATTTTCTAAATTTCCTCGCTACTAAATATTCCACAGTCAACTGTCAGTGGTATTATAACAAAGTGAAAGCAATTGGGAACGACAGCAACTCAGCCATGAAGTGGTAGGCCACGTAAAACGACAGAGTGGGGTCAGCGGATGCTGAGGCGCATAGTGCGCAGAGGTTGCCAACTTTCTGCAGAGTCAATCGCTACAGACCTCCAAACTTCATATGATCTTCAGATTATCTCAAGAACAGTGCATAGAGAGCTTCATGGAATGGGTTTCCATGGCCGAGCAGCTGTATCCAAGCCTTACATCACCAAACGCAATGCAAAGCATCGAATGCAGTAGTGTAAAGCACGCCACCACTGGACTCTAGAGCAGTGGAGACGTGTTCTCTGGAGTGACAAGTCACGCTTCTCCATCTGGCAATCCGATGGACGGGTCTGGGTTTGGTGGTTGCCAGGGGAACGGTACATGACTGCACTGTGCCAAGTGTAAAGTTTGGTGGAGGGGTGATTATGGTGTGGGGTTGTTTTTCAGGAGTTGGGCTCGGCCCCTTAGTTCCAGTGAAAGGAATTCTTAATGCTTCAGCAGACCAAGAGATTTTGGACAATTTCATGCTCCCAACTTTGTGGGAACAGTTTGGGGATGGCCCCTTCCTGTTCCAACATGACTGCGCACCAGTGCACAAAGCAAGGTCCATAAAGACATGGATGAGCGAGTTTTGTGTGGAAGAACTTGACTGGCCTGCACAGAGTCCTGACCTTAATCTGACAGAACACCTTTGGGATGAATTAGAGCGGAGACTGCGAGCCAGGCCTTCTTGTCCAACATCAGTGTCTGATCTCACAAATGCGCTTCTGGAAGAATGGTCAAACATTCCCATAAACACACACCTAAACCTTGTGGAAAGCCTTCCCAGAAGAGTTGAAGCTGTTATAGCTGCAAAGGGTGGGCTGACATCATATTAAACCCTATGGATTAGGAATGGGATGTCACTCAAGTTCATATGCGTGTGAAGGCAGACAAGCGAATACTTTTGGCAATATAGTGTATAACATTACACTATTACTGTTTCAATAGTAACTATTGAACTTGAAGACTATTATATCTACAAATACTAGATATAGTGCTAGGTGGTTGCTAGGGTGTTGCTGTGGTATCCCAGGGGGTTGCTATGGTGTTCCAACGCGGTTGCTAGGTGGTTGCTATCATGCTGCTAAGTGGATGCTTGGTGGTTTCTATGGTGCTGCTAAGTTGGTGGTTGGTATGGTTCACTGCCACCTTAAATCTCCTGCTACCTCACATCTGGCACCTTAAATCCATGCCACCTCAAATACAATGCTACCTAAAATCTCCTGCTATCTTAAAAGTGTGTGTGTGTGGTGTGTTGAGTGTGTTTGTGGAGTTATGTTAAAAAAATCTAGCAGAAAAATAAGAATTATAATATAAATAATATAAGAATAATATAAAATGAAAAACAATATAAAATATAGAACAATATAGCTGCATATTTGCGCTAGGCAGTCAAAGCCCTACTGCCATTGGCCTCCGTCAGAAGAGCAGACCTACCCCAGGCAACACCAGTGTTCTCTGTCGCTGCCAGACTTGGTTCCTCCACCATTACCTGAAACAAAGCTTCTAATCACCTTTTTAGAAGTAAACAAAAAGCAAAAATGTTGTAGTGAACTAAAACCACTACCAACACTGCAACAATTTAATTTCTCTCACATTAGGGAGGGCAATAAAACCACAAAGGCCAGTTTACAATACAAAGATCCAATCACCTACACACAGAAACTGCCAGCAAACAAATAAAATGCAAATACTCAACGGACAAAATCAGGAATGGACAAACCCCCTAATTCTGTTACAACCCGGTGACAGAATCTAACTTTCACAAATGCAAACTGAAGCGAAGAGTGGAGTGTTCTTTCAGGTTGTGTCAGAAGGGAAAAGAATAAAAATAATAATAATAATAATACAGAAATATTGAAAAGAAAGACAAGAAAATTTGGTACAATATAAAATACAGTGACATGACAATAAAATGTGATAAAACAAACAGAAAGAGGAAAAATGACTGAAAAAGGGGCAGTAGAAGTGATCTGACTGAAAATACGTTATATGCACTGTTTTATGCTTTTTAATGAATTCAGAGGTTTTTTAAATTTATTTGGCATGTAACATATGACTTCATTGACTTAACCTTAGCTTTACATCAAGGTTATCTGTTGAGATTTCAGTTCTGTGTCAGACCTGCTTATAGCAGATGAAAGGCTGTACAGGTTCTTGGCTGTTTTTATAGTTTGCCCTGAATACACGTTTCTCATCAAGAGAATTACCTATGCCGACAATGTCATACCCAATGGCATTCAGAACATCTGTGAGTGTAAATATAAAGTGAAACTGAAATTTGCTGTGGTGGTAGTTGACAGTTCCTGCTACTGACAGATATCACTCAATTATTTTCTTTTGTCTCTCTGACCCAAGGACTGTGTTAGTTAAAGGTGTGTTGTTGGGAACTGATAAGTGAACTTTGCCCTTCTTTTATTAGTTTTTTATTTCCTCTCTATGTTGACTGTAGCCTAAGTGAACTCTGCCTTTGATTCCATTCAATTTATTCCCATTTTCTCCTTAAAAGTTGTACCTAGTCCTACAGTGTCCAAGCTCGAGCGTAGCTGTACATTATTGTCTTCTAACAGAGGAACAGACTCCACAATTCCAGTAATTATTAATGAATTTCTGGGAAATCATACTATCTGCTATCAAAGCGTTCCCCTCCCAATATTATCTCCCTTAAGAATAGGCCTATGAATGAATAACTAGTTGTTTTACTTTTGGTTTTGAAGTATAAATGCTGAAAGCAAGTAACATAACATGAGGAAAGCAGGCGCTCCAGCATCAGAAAAAGCAGAGATATCAAAATGAGAATTGTCTGTGAGAATAGTCATCCTGCCTGTTATTTATGGACCTACTTTGGTAAGCAATTATGAGCCTTTACAATTTTCTACACTTTCATGTAAAATTTAGAAATGTTGCTGTTTCTTTCAGAAGTTAAAACATTTCTGTTGTATGATAAAAAAAAGTTGTTTTACAGAATAGGAAAATGTCATGAATAAAATTTTGCCCTGAGAAAAAAAGAAAGTAATTTGAATGTCAAGTTGAAAGTGCACAGCACCTCTGATTAGTCCATCATTTCAAAATGTCTTGCATGTTTTCTCCCTATTATTATTAATATGTGAATAGTAGTCAGAGGGCTCAAACTATGGACATATTGGGAATAGCCCATTTCACCCTAAAGAAGACTGAAGTGGTTTTAGGAAATGTGTTATTAAAGTGACACTTTTGAAAGGAAAGTTTAAAAATGAAAAAATGAATGTCTTACTATTTTGTGTCTTCCACCAACTGAAGAACACTGTTTAGCTAGATAAAATAGTAAATAGGCAAGCTATTTAAAAGAATACACAGGTTATTTATAAGAAGATAAATTATTTATCACCAGTTTACAGGGCTAACACTTCAGCCCTATTCAAGCTGGGTTAGTTTTTCCTGGGCAGGTGCTGTAATTTGAATGATTACTGACAAGATCTGTGATTTTAATCAAGTACAAATCTGCAACATCTATAGTTTTTAACAGCCCGCTAAGTAATAATTACAGAGAAAATTATCTTCTATAATTTCTTAAATCCAGAGATCTGTAGGTAATAGTAGTCCTTGAATCAACCTCGTGGTAATATAATTATAAATCCTGGTAGCATGCAATGAAGCCACTGTTTTTGGTAACTAAGATACTAGGCTAACCACAAAAGTAGAGTTTGACTTGGCACAATTCTTTATCCTCTAGTTCAAAACTGGACCTACAACTGTTTTGGTGATGGCTAATTAGAAGGGGAATAAAAATGAAATAACTGAAATTACCTCTCACAGGGTAGAGCGATTTTTGTTCTTTTTGGGTGTAATTTGTTAAACTGGAATAATCCACTTTACTAGCCTAACACTATTGTACTGGGTGTTAACCAGAAGTTAGTATTTGTTGTTTGTTTGGAACTATTTAATTTTAATCTGATGTGAATACCCAAGCTATGATGTTTCTATCCAGGCTATTTGGGGTAATTTGGGAAACTACACAGAAACATTAGCCTGTACAAATAAGCCAGTCAAATTCTTTACAGATTACACTACCGAACCTCCTTTTGTAAAACTAATTCAGCTTGAATATGGCTTTACAATCTGGGTTAAGACTAGTTAACTATGTCTTTTTATTAGCTAACATTACATTCTGTGCCAAAGTCCAGGAGGCATATTTTAACCCCTTAAAAATGCAGGTTTATTACATACTAAGGCCTATTATTATGTATCTACAGGGACTTCAATACAAACTGTTTGAGCTATTCTGAGGTTATAGAATTGTGTAATAAAACTTTGGCCATTTATGGGGTGAATATCAGGTTTAAATGGGCTGTAATCTGTGGCTTTCCTGGAATAGAGTTGAATAACAGAGCCATATGATACATTTCTCTTGCTTGTGGAGAACATGTGTCAGAATATATATTATGTATCTTCCAGTATTGTACTACATTATGGTGCTGTGTTCTTCTGTGTGCAGATATTTCTGAAAAGTGATCAATACAAGATAAAGTAGAAAAAAACATGGCCTCTTACATGGACAACAGTGAAAGTATGTATTAGCCTTGTCAGTATAATTGCGTGTGTGACTGTGCATTCATTCCATTAACTATTTGGTTTTTGATTAGCAATATGCAATTTTAAATAATGATATGTTTTGTATTTTGCTCATAGTGCACAACAGTGGATCAGGATCTACACAGGACTCAGGACAGCCCAGTGGTGAGTTACCAAGCTAGCAACATTATAGCATCATGAAAACATTTAGGTGTCATATAAATCAAAATAAAAAAATAAAAAAAATCAAGAGCTTAAGATAAAAAGCAAATAGCAAATAAAATAAGAAATTAAAAGAAATTTAAATAGTGCTACAATAACATGCAGTGACAGTTTTAAATTAAAAAGCTGAAGATAAAATAAAATAGCAACTAAAATAAAGGATTAAAAGAAATCAAAACAGTAATTACGATAAAGTGCAGCACTAAACAAAATCACAAAAAAACAACGTTTTCAATCTGTTTATAGTCTTCATACTAGTATAACAAAGGGTTAAAAATAGCAACATGATTCACACATCAGAACACTCAGCAGACCCTGCCCTCACTAACCAGAGTGAGAAAACCCAGCTCTAACCAAACAACAGCCAGAAATTCAGCACTAAAAACAGTCAAATCCACTGATATCAGCTTTTTGCATTAGCCTTCATAGGGCAACGCAATTCACCCATCACAGTGATCGGACGTACCTTGTGTGTCCTGATGTTCTTGAGTTTCAGTGAAGATTCAGTCAGTAATCCAATTCAGAAAAGCACCATTCAGATCCTACATTTATTTCCATTTAAATGCCCCACTCACATCCCCAAATGCATGTGTACGATCTGAAACTGCTCCTCGTGTCTCAAACAATGCTCTGATTGACTCTAACTCTGAGTTCAGTGCTAATAGTGAGAAATCTACAGCTAAATACGGTTAATAACCACACAAACAATCAGACTGAGGCACATATGAGACCATGTGCTCTCCACATGCTCTGCACTGTTTCTGCACTGAGAGTGAGGGAAGAGGTAGAATAACATGATAGGGAGTGGTGTTCCCATCCACTAGACTGAGTGCAATCTTTTACTCAAAATCAAACAGGCACTAAAACACTTTTTTTTACAGTCAAATAACAATAAATATGATAAATATTATTATAAAATTAATCATATTTAGTTGTCTTTCAATTTACATTGATTTTGAGTATTAAAAACAGTTGACTAGAAACATTCAACTGTGTATCAGTTTTAGCACTCAGCATGAGTCCAAGAGGACAGAAAATCAATGTAAAAACATGGTCGTCTTATGCTTATTATTTATTTTTATTCTATAATAGGCAATATAATGAACCACCGTCAAAAATCTAGCACTTGCAGCTCACAGACACTCCAGACTAACAATTTCTGAAAAGGTATCGGAGGTGACACTTGTTTGCAAGATCTGCATAAGCAAAAATTTACAAACTTTTTCAGGTGATTTTGACCAAAAATTAGCCAAATGCATAGAGATATCAAGATTCTGTTTACATATGCATATGAAATAATGGCATATCTGAGTAGTCCAGGGTCTCCTGAAAATAACAGCATAGGCATGTGACTGTCTCATGTAAATACTTTATAATTGCAATTGTAATTAACCAAAATACCAAAAATTATGCAAAATTACCATAGGATTCTAACAGTTAAGGTGGAACAGAGTTAGAAGAAGCCAATGTCAGCTTTGTACATTCACCATCATTTTGTTGTCTTTTCTGTAAATTTTATTTGGCTCAGTGGTTTTGGTTTCTGTTGTCATCTAAATTCAATTAAAACAAGTGATTGTTTTTAGTTTGCTGAGCAAGTTTTTGCTGTTCTCAGTGCTCCCAAAAATCATAAAAAAATAACTCCAAATGTTTATTATTTTAATTATTTTATTTTTTTATTAAGTTTAATAATACTTTGAAAATTCTTTTCATATGTAGTTGGACTACTCTTTGTTTATTCCATTATGACTGTCATTGTTATCCATGTACCATGGATTTTGTATTTTATTTGGAAAGGTTAAAAAAAATCAGTTTAATATACAGCCATTACTAATTAACTTACTAAGATTACTAACATGCTGTCATTAAAAGAATATATTACAGTAACCATCATTTTTTGCTGTTTAGTGTTGAAATTGCTTAAAATTAGCTGAAGAATGCATGCTGACTTGTTTCAGACTCAAAGATTAAGGAAAAATGCCTAGCAGAATTGCGTGATGGAAAGAGTCCTGGCTAATGGGAAAACTGAGTATAAAAGTTTGTTTTTTTACCTAACTGAGATGCAGAACTAAAAAATTAAGAGAACTTTTGACTCAACTAAGAAGTTTGAGTTGTGTGAACTCTTGTGTCCTCAAGTTGAGTCAACATAAGAAAAAACATGAAATCAGTTACGATATCATTTTGAGTTGAGCTGACCTCTCATTTTTAACAGCGTGTGTGTATTTCACTCACTGCATAAACTACGGCACAAAAGTAATGTCAAAATACAATTTTGCTGCAGTGGGAAAAACATAAGTAATATTGTATAGTTTACCCACTGCCATAGAACGTAATTGTTATTTTAAGTTTATGCTGTGTCACTTGTGGAATGATGACATAATGCTGCGCTGTTTAGCTGTTGTGAGAGAAAACGAAAGTAACGCCTTTCAATTCTCTGCGTATTTCTACAAACACTACACTGGTGACCCCGTTGATTCCAGATGTCAAAAATGAATAGTCCTTGGGCTTCTCCTCTACACAAAGTGCCCAACTCTGATGTCAGCCATGTGGGGATTACCGCCACCTCAATGATGCCATTACTCCTGACTACCAGTCCCTGGTACAGAGGTCTGCGCAAGGTTCAGCCGTGGGTCCCATGTGATCTGCTAAATAATTTGTGGGTGGGATTCATATTGAGGCACGATAGTCTTTGCGGGGAAACAGCCAAGAGGGTTCCGGGCTTGAGTGGGCAGATGTTATGGCTGGTTGAGTGGGGCGGGTTTGGACGATTACTGGCTGCTTGTAGAAGCAAAAAAGGAATGAATAATAAGCTGCAAGTGTGCTGCAGAGAAAAGCATGTTAGTAATTACATGCAGGAAAACACATGAAGCTATAGAACATACAGTATTTTTTTTTTTCCCATGACAATTCTTTTGGCTTTTTAACCTGTGTCATGGCATGTCTTAGTATTTGGTTTCACTCTAAATTAATTTCAGCTGACTTATAAACGCCTTATAGAGTAATTAGCTAATAATATAATGCTTATTATATCATTGTCTGAATAACAAAAAAACAAAAAAACAAAGAAATCTTCAAACTCTCCATGAAACAACATATTTTACTTCTGCTTGTGAATTACATATGACTTAAGGAAGGTGTGAGTTTTGTTCATCACAAAACACAAACAAAATTGTACAAACCCAATTCCAAAAAGGTTGGGACAGTATGTGAAATACAAATAAAAACAGAAAGCAGCAATTTGTAAATCCAATTTGATCTGCATTTAAACAAAAGCAGTACAAAGACAGGATTTTTAATGTTTTATCCTATCAATATTAGTAAATATACATTTATTCTGAAACTGATGCAAGCCAAACAAAAAAGTTGTGACAGGGCAATTTAAGACAAGGAACATTGTTGAACGTTCTGAAAACATTTTAAAAGTGGTGATGTAATCATGCTTGGATATAAAAGGATAATCCAGGAAAGACTTCATAAGCAAGGTTGAGTTGAGGCACATCACTTTGCCAAAAATGCATCAGCAAATAGTTTAACTGTTTAAGAACATTGGGCCTCATTCATCATTGACTTCCTAAGTTTTTTCTTAAATTTGTTCTTGAGAAAGTTCCTAAGGAAAAGTCTACATCAGATTCATGATGTGTTCTTAAACCACACAATTGTTCACACTTTTGGGCTCTTGATTGTGCATAAATTCTGTTTTACCTAAGAACAAATCCTAAATAAGAAAGCACTGGTGAATGTCAGAATCTGTCCAGAACAGTGGGTTTTAAGAAGATATTTCTTCTAAAAAATGGCCCAATGTTACTCAAAAAGTGCTTTCAAGGATTTTAGGTATTTAACATTACCCAGTTCATAATAACATCAAAAGAATGAGGGAATCCAGAAAAAACTCTGTGCATAAAAAGCAAGGCCAAATACCACAGCAGAATGCTTGTGACCTTCGATCCCTCAGACAGCATGCGTTAAAAACCAGGATTTTTCTGATGGATATCACCACATGGGCTCAGGAATACTGTGACAATCCATTGTCAATAAATGCCTTTCTTCACTGCATCAACAATTGCAAACAGAATTTACTAATTACTGCTTTTTGTTTTTATTAGCATTTTCCATACTGTCCCAACTTTTTTTGGGACTGGATTTGTATAAATAATTTAAACATGTGTATTTGATAAAGCATGCTTTATATTTTGCAAATGAGAATAACAATACAATATACCTCTTTGTTTTCAGACTCTCTTCAAGCACTCTTGAGGACACTGGGACTCGAAAAATACTACCCAAATAAGCTGACTCTAAGATTTTTACTAGAGATCAACAGCGCTAGTGTGTCAGACGAAGAGCCCAACTCACTGCAAGCAATACCATGGGCTTTCCTAAGAAAGTTACTGATGGTTAATTCAAATTCAAGGTCTTTATTATCTACATTTTGTGAAAATGATGAAACAGAAGACTCATCTGCTGAGGAGGACTGTGAAGGTTGTCTCAATCTTCTAGATCTCAGCATTGCTCTCTTTGCCTGTGCTGACAGTTTCCTCCAGCAAGAAATAACACTTAAAATGTCAATGTGTCAGTTTGCAGTACCCTTTCTGATACCCCAAGAAGTACATGGTCAGTGCACTCTTAAGTTGTGGGCTCTAAGAGGTATCCTGAAAGAGTGGCGTCCCCATTCGATGACTGAATATAAAGGATTTGTTGAAGAAAATGTAGTTCATGCAAACATTCCTCTGGTGTCATTTGTGAGATTACGTAACTGCAGCTTGTCCAAGTCTCAAGTTTTAAATGAAGTTCTCAGTCAGTCACAGCAACATCATGATTTCTTTTTACATCGAGAAATGATCGGAGGGTCTGCTCAGAGGTTGATTGCTAATGGCCTGGTTGAAATATGCTGGAATCTGCCTTGTGGAAACAATAGCATTGATGCATTCCCCGAGCCAGTGGCTATTGCTAATTTAAGAGGAGATATTTGCACTTTTGAAACACAATTCAGTTTTCTTACTCAGGTATCAGCAGCTATCTTTGTGTTCCTGGACAGTGTTGAACAAGAAGAGCAAATATTATTTGCTTCCTTAGAGAAAACTAAGTCCAAAATCTTTCTTGTGGTAAACTCTCAGAGAGAAATGAAGGAGAATGTTAAGACATCTGTTGAAACAGCAATTGGTACTCTGAAGTTGGAAAGAGAGTACATAATTAAGAAAAGCCAAAAAGCCAATTTGGCTCGTTTCTCAAAGATCATCACTTCTGCTATGAAAAAATTGCTTGGTGAGAGCTCCATATCATCTGAAAGGTCTAAAATTGAGTCTATGAAGAATGTTGCTCAAGAATTAGGTGTTGTAATTGATGAATATCAGAGCAAAGCCTCTGTATCAGCAGAGAGTGCAGCTGAGGATATCATAAAAGGTTTTGGAATACTTCAGGTAGTAGATTACAAGAAGAGACAGCTACCACTGCAAGGTGAAAACTGGAAAAGATTGGCTCAGATTGAAAAAGAGGAATGCAGATTACAAAATTCAGGACAGCTAAGCTTGGAAGAATACAAGGTTCAGCTTCTGAAAGAAAAAGATGAAATTTGGAACAAACAAAGCAAGTACAGGATGACAAAAGCAATGACTGTCTTCATAAGGGCTTTGTCAACGTCTGATTACAGCGAGAGAGCCTTCTTCCTCAGATGGATGGGATTGAAGTTGGACAGTAAATCACGCAAGCACTTGTCAGAACTTCGACACAAATATAAAGAGTGTGAACGAAAGGGAGATAGGGAAGGCATTGCCTGCTTGGACCAGAGCCTTCTTGATAGTGCTCTTGGAATTGAACATTACATGAGAGAAATGGGGCTGATCTATGAGACTGCTTCACTTGGTTCAAGCAAATTATCTGAAGAAACTAGCCATCTCCCTGTTCTGGCTGCTGAGCTGCTTCTGGCTGGGTTTCCTCTTGAGCTACTTGATGGAGAGGCATCAAATATCCCTCAAAAATGGATAAGTGATGTTCTCATGGAACTGCACAGGAAGGTTGGGCAGAAGAGTCGTCTGTTGGTCCTGACAGTGTTAGGGGTTCAGAGCTCAGGCAAATCAACACTGCTCAACACTATGTTCGGTGTCCAGTTTGCAGTCAGTAGTGGTCGATGCACTCGTGGAGCATCCATGCTTTTTCTTCCTCTTGGTGAGGACCTAAAAGAAGAATTACAGTGTGACTTTGTCCTTTTAATTGATACAGAGGGTTTGAAATCACCTGCTCTGGCCCTACTTGAAGACAGTTATGAGCATGACAATGAACTAGCCACATTAGTGATTGGTCTTAGTGATGTAACCATCATCAATATTGCAATGGAGAACTCTACTGAGATGAAGGATGTCCTACAAATAGCAGTTCATGCTTTTTTACGAATGAAGGAAATTGGTAAAAAAACAGTCTGTCATTTTGTTCACCAGAATGTTGCTGGTGTATCAGCATATAACAAAAACATGACAGAGCGGAAACAGCTCCTGGACCATCTAAATGAGATGACAAAAATCGCAGCTGGGATGGAAAAGCAGCATAAAGTGAATGAATTCACTGATGTTTTGGATTATGATGTGAAAAAGAATAACTGGTATATACCAGGCTTATGGCATGGCACACCACCAATGGCTCCAGTTAACACAGGTTACAGTGTGGCTGTTTTTGATTTCAAGCAAAACCTAGTGGAAATTCTTAAAGCAAGAAAAGAAGAACAACCTTTTCAGATTCCAGAGTTTCTGCAATGGATGAGTAGCTTATGGAAGGCAGTGAAATTTGAAAACTTCATCTTTAGCTTCAGAAACACTCTGGTGGCCCATGCCTATGACAGTCTTTGCAAAGAGGTTACAGAATGGGAGTGGTGTTTCAGAAAACACATCCAGTCTTGGCTTACAAATGCAACAGTTAAAATATCAAACACCGAAACCAGTTGTATGCAGTCAATTAATGAGGTTGTTGATCCACTTAGAGAGGAAGCAAAGAAAGAGATTGCCTCTCAAACAAAAGAAATGACTGAAAAATTAAAAGACTACTACAAAAGGAAAGACCGCTATGTGCACTTGGTGGTGAAATACAAAACTGATTTTGCTAAGAGCATCAAAAATCTTGAGAATGAAATGAAGGATGAAGTGAGGAAGCGATTAGAGGCTGCTCTTGAGATGAGAAGAAACAAACAGAAAGTAGAGGAGATTCACAGACAGCAAGCTGCAATGATTGAGTTCCAAGTCCTGCAGCTGCTGCAAAATTACAAATATCAGAAAGATGAACTGTCTGATGAGGATCTCAAGGCTGACTTTGAGAGCATGTGGAGAAGAGAATTGGAAAACATCTCTAGCTTTAAAGAAAGGGATATTCCAGCTGATGTTTTCAAGCAAATGAGATCCAATTTAATGAATCGCAATGTCAGTGAGGACTTACAGAAAGTTCAAAACTTGACACAATATGGTCTACAGCAGTTCCAGGTGAAAGACAAACATGTAAAATTCTTAACCAGACTTAGAAATTTTTTCACCAGACAAAATGCAAAGCAAGATGTGGAGATTCTTGCAAATGATGTCATTCTGAATTGCTGTAGAATGATTGAAGAGTTGACAAAGTCTAAAATGGACTACCAAGACGTATTTACAAAAGACATATTTGAGGAAATTGATATGCACCTCAAACAAGCAGGCACCAAAGTCAATATCAAGTTTGAGGTAGACCTAAAACTGCACATTTGTGGCATTGCTTCTCGAAAATTCCGTGAGATGCACAGGAAATTTCTCACTGCTCAAGATCCTTTAAAAAACTTGGAGAAATTCAAGAGCCAGTATCTTTCTGATTTCATTGATTTGTACAAAAAGAGGGATCAGTGCCAAAGAAAAGCACAAGACTTCACTCAGCTCTGTCTCAAACCAGCAGTGACTGAGTACATCAATCAATCCCTTGGAACAGACATTGTTGATGCAGTTTTGGCCAACTCGCCGACTGAGTATAGTACACGGTTTCTGTTCCAATACAACATTCAGAAAGATATGCTGGAACAACTGGATTTCACTGACTTTCTGCATTACATTCTGCATTACAAGAGTTATGTCAAGGATTGGATATATAATCACATTATTCAATGCTTCTCCGAAGATATATCCTTGCAAAAATTAAAAATGAAAAAGCTGGACAATGTATTTGAAAAGATCATGAAAGCAGTGGAAGCTTCAAAGCATGGAGAGGATGGACTTCCTTTGTCCGATGATGCAGAAAGCACCAGAAAGTTGATACAGAATTTTTGCACAGCTCTCAGCAAAATCATTTCAGTGCCCAGGGATGCTGTGGAAGGAGTCCTTTTTCAGAACACAAGTTGTTGTAGTTCATTTACCAAAAGTCTCTGTGAGTGTTTAGATGACATGAAAAGGCAGCTAGCAGAGGAGATCTCAAGGTCATCCGATATCGTTGAGACACTAAACAGTGTGCTAGTGAAACCCCAAGATGAGCTGTTCAAGAGGGTCTTTGGTTGTGGGAAGCAGTGTCCCTTCTGCAAAGTTCCATGTGATGCAGGAACAAAGAAACATCAGAACCACCATGCAGCTGTGCATCGACCACAAGGGCTTGGCACATACAGAGATTTGGAGACTAACATCCTATGTGAAGAAATTTGTACATCTAGTGTACATGGCAATGGGGCCTTTCTAAATCATGAGACAAATTTTGAACCTCATCCTTACAAACAATACCATACCTACTACCCAAACTGGACTATCCCACCAGACAGTTCTATAGAGGCCTCAGACTACTGGAAATTTGTGCTGGTAACATTTAATAACGAATTTGCTGAAAGGTATAAAGCAAAGCCAGCTGTATATCCAGAAGCATGGAACAGACTTACTAAGGACCAGGCTCTTATTAGTCTGAAATCTGCCTTCAATATTACATGAGACAAAACTGTCACTAAAATTAATGCTTTTGCTGCATAAAAATAAAAATGCATTACCATATGTGAAAACAGATACAAAATCCATACCAATGCAGAAGAATGGAAAAATGCTAAGATTCAATTTCATGACTCATGGCTTTGCTCAAGTAAACCAGATGGATTACCTTTATTCTTTGTCTCAAAATTTAAAACAGATCATACTAAATGATATTTACAGCAAATGTTAGATTAAATGGTGTGTAAGGACTGTCACTAACCGAATTTCGAAAATCTTAACCAATCTTAACCAGTTCCTACATACTATGCTAGTAATATGTAGGAAAATGATTAACATCAGAAAGGATATTCAGAAATGTATAATTGCCAGTTGCAAAAAAAAAAAAAATATCACTTTGTGTGTTGCATTGCAAGAGATTAAACAGACCAAACACTTCAACAAAGGTTTTTAACTTTTATTTAGGCAGTTTCATGTGTGCTTGTGGTGATAATTAAATTGTTACATTTGTATTTAATCATTTTAAAACATTATTCTGGATATATTATGTAAAAGTATCACAATACACAAAAATGTATAAATCATGAATGTATCAATTCATAAATAAAAACTGGTTGTTAGTTTAGCTGATTGTTAGCATATATGAAAGGGTTTCAAAAATAAAACTGATAAAACAATCACTGATAATGTGTTATTTGATCATACTTTTATTTATTCAAATTTTTTAACACTTGATATTTGTATGTTTATTACATTTTAATGCACTTTAATACAAGACCTAATAAAACTTGTCACATATTGCTACTTCATAATGTGTTGTGCATGTAACAAAACATATGAGTGATTATAATTGCGTATGTAATTCTGTTATGTTGGGTGTATAACACATTATACCTGCCTGTATAATGTATTATGAATATAACATTGACAGAAAGGGTTTCCAGCAGGTTTTTTTTTTTTTGTGAAGCATTACTACCTGGTTATAGCTAACACAACATCATAGATGATGGACTCACGAGACATCCATTCACATATAAGATCTAATCTAAAGCACATATGGCATGAAAGGGTTCTCTAAACCCTAATTTAAAAACGTGAATATTGGTCATTACAATTATATTATAAAGACACTCATTATACAGGGTGATTCAAAAAGATTAATCTGATTTTAAAGCGTCATATTTTTACAAAGCATTCGTCATTGGTACCAACAGTTCCAAGAAAAAGGTCACCAGCATCACCAGATCTCACACCATGTGACTTTTTTTGTGGGGATACGTTAAGTATTCTGTTTATGTGCCACTCCCAACCACACTGGATGATCTCCGAAATCGCACTGAAAGAGCCGTGAGTACAGTGACACCCCACATGCTCAATTGAGTATGGGATGAATTTGACTATGGTGTTGATGTTGTCCGTACAGCTGGAGAGGGCCCATACTGAGCACTTTTAAAATGACATAATAAAGTTTATGCTCACTTCAACCATTTACAATTTACTGCATTGTTCTGCAATGATTTACAAACGAAAGAAATCATTTTGAAATTGGATGGATCTTTTTGAATCACCCTGTATTATAAAGACACTTATAAAGTACTAGTAGTAGCAGTAGTGGTAGTAGCAGTAGCTGTTATTTTTGCAGTAGTAGTATCTATAACATGAGTTGTGCAAAGGGTATATGAAAATTAAATGGCATCCTGACCAGTTCATTCAGGCATGCTCACATTTTAACTCAAGTCAATCGTGTTGGTCCACACTTTCCTTAAAATGTATTTAAAGTTTGTGATCAAGAATTTTTATTGCACAAAACAACAAACAACAAGGGGATAGGGGGCAACAGACAACCAGAGACATAGACAGCAATAATGATCATAGGTACATCACAAAATTAAATAAGGGATGAAATGTCCATATTCAACGTATACCTTGCAGGAAATCCAAAATACGCAACAAAAAAGTTTGCTACATTTCAACAATCATGTGCTTAGCATGGTTAAGTCGCACAGCCATGCATTCAAGTTTTGCTATGTTAAGTAAATTAACAGCCCAGAATGATTCCAAGTGAAGTCCAGGGGTAATCCAGTTTTGTAGGACTGTCTTTTTAGCAGCAGTAAATCCAGAAAACAATAGTTTAAAAATGTATTTAAAATTTAATAATTTAGTTTAGAATTGTATATTACAGTAAACATTGGAATGGAAACTTCACCACAGTTCAATCATCAACATCATATCAAATATCAATATTGTAAATATTTTGAAACAATAATATTTGTATACATATATGAAATTTAAGTAGGTATAAAAATGGCCATTTTGTGTAATACATTGTTTAACATTTGCCAAGTTAACATAAGACACATTAATATCATAAGCATATTGATTAAATTGATGAAAATTATGATAAAATATAAAAAAAGATATAAGCACCAGAAGAAGTTAATTTCATAGTATAAATCTATTTTACTACATCTGTATGAAAATTTGTTATTGTGGGGGACCTAACTGTACTATTATACATTACAGTAAGATGATAGGATAAATATATTGTGCTACATATAATGTAAAGGGTAAAGCAGTAGGAAAAAACAGGAAGCTCCAACATGTTCATTTCTTAATATGTATTCATTGTAGGACATAAACAAAAAAAAAATCTACCTGTGCAGCTGTATGTGTGTATTTAGCTGTTGTTCCTCTCTCTGTGCTGTTTGTACTTCTGCTTCACTGTCTCTTACTGCAGTTACTCTTAATATTTCTAAAATTAAATGTTTAAAATTATATTATTTTAGCTGGGTGGGCGGCACGGTGGCGCAGTGGGTAGCGCTGTTGCCTCACAGCAAGAATGGCCTGGGTTCGATTCCCGGCTGGGCGACCAGGGTTGTTTCTGTGTGGAGTTTGTATGTTCTCCCCATGTCTGCCGGGGTTTCCTCCGGGTACTCCGGTTTCCTCCCACAGTCCAAAAACATGCAGTCAGGCTGATTGGACATGCTGAATTGCCCCTAGGTGTGAGTGTGTGAATGTGTATGTCTGTCTGTCTGCCCTGTGATGGGCTGGCGGCCTGTCCAGGGTGTATCCTGCCTTCCACCCAATGACAGCTGGGATAGGCTCCAGCACCCCACCGCGACCCAGAAGGATAAGCGGTTTAGATGATGATGATGATGATGTATGTATGTATGTATTTTAGCTGGCTAGCTAGTTTTCTCATGCTACCGTTGTACTTAGCTTGCTGCTTTACAGATTAGGTCATTTTGGTAATAAGATGGATATTAGTCTGTTAGCAGGCTTACTAACGCCAGCTAGTTAAGGAAGTTAGTAATTTTCTAGTAATTGAAAACTTCCATAGATGTTCATATTAGTTGATCAATGATTAATTATTTAAATAAGCCTTTAGTTAGACCATCAGTTCGCTATTTTGTAGAGATGATCACTCAGCTAGCTGGTTACCAAGCTACCAAACTTAGCAAACATTAGCAATTGCTAGCTACATAACTGCTCCTAACTTGACAAAACCTATATTTCAAATTGTTCAATTGGCAGTATTAATACACTTTCAGCTTACATTTACTACTATGATTTTTTAAATAAATTGTTTAAAAATCTTTAAGCTCATTTAATTATTCTTTATAGCCAAGCTACAAACAAAATATTGTATTTCAAAGTCACACTGTTAAGGAAATATATTGCCAACATGCATTTATCATTTATTTAACTACATGCAGATTACAGATCACAGGATGTGTGAACGAGTTAGTGTTGTTTTGAAGGTGGTGCCATAGAGAATACAGCTGTAGATTCATTATTACATCACAGTCATTTTCTAGTCTGCTGTGTTATATTAAAGTCAGAACAGGAGTGAAGTGTACAGACTGAATAGACTATTGTGGTACAAGGACAGGAACAAGCTGTAGCTTAGAGTCCAATACATCATGTTTATGGAGATTGGTATTTGCTATTTATGTGTCTACAGAGATCTAAAAAATTGCGTAAAACATCAGTCAAGCTTGTAAAAGAAATGAGAATGTGGCACATGGAGTGAACATAAACATCCCTGAGTCAAATTCAGAGATGAGGTGAGGGTTCACTCACAGCCCTGGAGCCACACATTTCTGATTTGGAGAGGGAGTGCTGACACTTGAAACCAGCAGAAAACACAGGAAAGTGTTTCACACAAAGCTGTGGCTCAGCCCCCTTTCTGACCCTCTATATTTCTGCAAAACTGTAACAGTGAATGCTTTTAAATCTTTAAGGAAAAGGTAATATTAGACAATAACTTAAACAACTTTAAAAAAGACTTTTTTTTATTTTATCCATGTGAATGAAGTGATACTCATGTGAGCAGCCCATGTGAAAAAGTATGTGTCCCCCCACCCCCCTTACAATGAATAATTTGTTTCTTGACCTTTAGCATCATTGAGAGCAACCAATGGCATGGTCATAGTTTTGCTACCTGGGAGTTCAATGCCACTGCTCATTGCTCTAGTACCTAAAATAGTGGTGCAGTCTTATACTGGACTCTGTTCTATTAAGCTAGACAGTGACCAATCACTTTTTCAGCATCTCTGGTTCCATAAGTACAAATCCTATTAATTTTAGGAAAATCCATACATAGACAGCTTTAAGTACTCAGCCAAACCAAATGTAGTATTTGAAAATGGCACCTCAGTTAACTGTGTTCCTGTGCACATACCTAGTAATGATAGCTGCTTGTAAGTTATTTCATATTTGTAACAAGAAAATATTGCAAAAACCTTTTCACACTGGCCTTGACAGAACTGACAGGCTGTCCAACCTGAAAAGGCTTAGGGATATTCATGTGCTTTTTTTTGGAGTTTGGAAATTCTTGTTTTTTCACTTATTTCCTTTTGACTTTCCCCTTTCTTATGCAAGAGGATTCTCTTATATCTAATCTTCTCAGAAATATCTTCTTATTTGTACCTTTGACTTTTTTGACTAAAATGAAATAAATTAAGGGTGGTCTCTGATTTTACTCTGTATTTGTTTCACCAAAAGTATTAATTATATCCTATGTACACATTACATATATATATGTATATTATGATTTTATCATTAGAGGTGGGCACACACACACACACACGCACACACACACATGCACGCACATTTTCTTAGCCGCTTATCCTTCTGGGTCATGGGTTAGAGGTGGGCAATGTGATGATATTTTATTGTTATTGTGATGAATTGTCTTATTGTAATAAACAATATGCTTTTCCAAACATGTCAGTCCCAAACAAGGCAGTTTTTAAATGTGGCAATACTGTGCTCTAAATATTATTGTGATCTGTATCATGTATCAGGAAAAAAGTACTGTGATGTGATATTTTTGCCATGTTGCTTACCCCCCAGTCATCACTGTTATAAAACCTTTTATCTCCAAAGTGGTTAAAGGGAAAAAATATCATTCTTGCTTTTAATGTATTTTAATAAAATGAGATTTTATTATAATTTTGGTAAATTCATCAGTAATTTTTTACATCTTGTCAAATATGACAATAGCTTTTTACTTTATGTAAAGTTGCATTGTGTTACTTTAAAGTGTAAAATGATAAACGAAGTTGAGATGTATCATATGCATAATCTGTTATACAGTTATACATAATACATAATTTCCAAACCCCAAATCTCTCTGTCTCTCTTCCATCCTCTCATTCCAGAAGCAGCAGGGGTAA